TGTAAAACCCCAGTATGAGAATACAAAAATTAAAACGGATTCATCTTAAATTTTATTGCCCACAATAAATGTTGGGATTTAATCAGATCTGAACAAACAATATACAAAGTCATTTACTTGTCAAGAATCATAGAGCACAATGTTATGTTTAGTGATGATTATAACAGCCTGAATATCCTCATTGTAATATTATTTTCAGAAAAAGGTTATTTTATTCAGTTCCATCAAGATATAATCAGCTTACTTTATTGGGGATACATATTTCTCTTGAACATACTACACATTAAGGTCTTCTTTGGAAAAGGGAGATATTAAAGAATAAATCTGCAGAAAACATGCTCAGCTGGACATGAAGACTTTCTCAGTTAAATAAGAATTTCATATGAAATAATACTCTGCAATAAAAACAAAGCTCAGTTTTGATATGTTTAAAGAAAAAAGAAATCTCAGAATTATTATGTGTGCGCAGATTTTCTGGATTTAATTTCTTCAGAAAAATACTTCCTACTTTCAGCTTTGCTTTTAATGTAATTCAGATGTTCTCATTTTCTTAGGAGATTATTACAAGTTAATGATATGCCTCAATTAGCACAGGAACATCACCGTATAAATGATATGAATGCCCAATCAAGGCCATCATGTACTTTAAGGCCATAATTTGGCTATATTTGGAATGCAAATTTCTTTCATCAGAGTAATTTTACATGTTTATTTTTTAAAAATAAGCCAACATTTGGTTGTTTTTGGGTTTTACTGACGGAAGCTGATGCATACATTTTTTTCATATAATAATGTTTATCTTCAAGGATGAAGGAATACATTTATTATTTTCTTTAGTATCTGAAAAACATAACACTTTAAGAGAAGATGTGATTACAAATTCATTAATTTTGCTATGTACTAATGAAGTCTCTTGGTTCTATTATAATAATATGTGGCAAGTGGTATCTCTTAAAGAGAAGACATTTTTCTATAGCATAAAGCAGACAGATATCCTAAAATTGTAGTTTAACAGCTATCTTTATGGTTATAGCAGTACACAATGTTAAAAGTAGAATTAAGTTAAACTATAGATTATATGTCAGTACTGATATACTGTATGTTTGTGTATGTGGGTATATGTTATACCATCATTAAATTTACACTTTCGGGTAATATTTGCATGATCAAACTTTATACACATTGGGCACCTTTTATTTCTCTTTCAGTATATGACTATAGCATATATTTATGTCAAATGACCAGAGTGTGAATTAAGAATCAGCAGATCTACCTTTTCATCAAGTGTTTCTTCAAATATAGGACAATTTTGTTTTTCAGTTTGCTTGTTTTATTTCAGTCCTTGAAATGTAAGCTTTCTTACTGTCATAATTTCTGAATGGAGTGGTATAATTTTGGAATGATAATAGAGAAATCATTTTAGCTGATCTGTACAAAAATTTGTTGGTCTCAGTATTAGCTTCTGTTATCAGAAATGGGGATAAATATTTTTTTCCCATAACATATGACTGTATACCATGGGAATTAACTACCTGGGAATGTTCTGACTAATTTGACTAATTTAAATATTTTTACTCTAAAAATATTTGATTTCTTTACATCTTTCTTTTCTATTTTTCTTCAACTTTTCTTCTTTTCTTACACTTTTGTTTTTTCTTTGATTTTTTTCTCTGTACTTTATATTCATTTGTATTAGTTTTTTTCTTTTTGTTTAAATTTTTTAATAAAAATATATACTAAAATATAAATAAAAATATTTTGGTTCCACTATGTTTAACTTTCCCTTGTCATAGATACTTCACTATTATCATGGGCTTTAGTTTTAAACATATATAGGTAGTCCTTGACTTACAACCACAATTGAGCCCAAGATTTCTGTTGTTAACTGAGGCACTTGTTAAGTGAGTTTTGCCCCAGTTTACGACCTTTCTTGCCTCAGCTGTTAAGTGAATCATTGCAGTTGATATGTTAGTAACCTGGTTGTTAAGTGAACCTGACTTCCCCATTGACTTTGCTTGTCAGAAGGTCACAAAAGGTGATCACAGGAATGATCACAAATATGAACCAGGTTGCCAAGCATCTGAATTTTGATCACATGATCCTGGGGATGCTGCAAAGATCATAACTGTGAAAAACAGTCATGAGTTGTTTTTTTTTCAGTGCCATTGTGACTTTGAATGGTCACTAAATGAAGTATTGTAAATCGAGCAGGGGTGAAATTCAGCTGGTTCTATCCGATTGCGCGATCCGGTAGGGCCGACTGCTCAAAGCCCCACCCACCCACGCAGATGTCATGACGTCCCTTTTTTGCAATGATTTTCAGCCTCTGCGCATGCCTCTGTGCATGAGCAGACGATGCGGCACACGCCCATTTGCAAACTGGTAGGGAAGGTAAGTGAATTTCATCCCTGAAGTCGAGGACTATCTGTATTACTATTTCATTCACTTATTTATTCAGTAACACTTCCTGTTTTTCTCTTAGAGCCTTGAGCATCTTAGGGAGTCATGTTTTCCTTTTAAGAATTAATGACATTTGACAGCTTCTTCATTTCTGATCTTAATATCTACAAATTGCCCATGGTTATCACGACAGGGAATACCTTTGTGGATAATACCTTGTGTCCATATAAATTAAAATCTTATGTGATTCAAAGTTCCAGCTCACATTTGTAGTAATGTGTGTTTAAGGCTTCATCACTGCAGACATTCTCACACTGATCGTCTGGATTGTACAACACAGTGGGGAACAATGAAGGTTCAGACAAATGGTTTAACCAGGTTGTTTTAGGAAAGCATGGGACACCCCATCTATTCACTTAAAACATTTATATAGCCACCCATCTTATAGTATAGCAACCTCTAGATGGCTCCAAATCAATTAAAGCATATTATTATCAATAATCAAACAATGCAATATATATCTTATATGTAATATTCTATTAAAACCATAAACCAACATTATCCTACAAATGTATTCTTTTGTAGGATAAATGCAAATTTTTTTAAAAAATGCAGATTTAAAAATACAGACCACACTAGGAAAATTGAACCAACCACAGAAAGTATGCTTGGGATAGTTGTGTAGAATATGTCACCATAATATTGTGGCACTTGAAATTCTTCTTCTGAGTGTAATTTTGATTTCTTCCATCCTCATAATCCTCCTGTTCTGTAGCACTCAATATTGTAAAGCACCTTTTAACAAACACTGGATATCCTTTAACTGCAGATTTATGAGTTACTTTGAATCCCGTCAAACAAAAAGGAAAAACACATTATTCATCTCTACAAGGGGAGAATATATATATACTTACCTACTAGGAAGCATACAAATGACCTTGATACATGTAAGACCAATAGATTTAAAAAAAAATAATCAGGGAAGGAGCAAGGAAAGATATCAATGATGGGTCAGGAGAACTGAAACTGAACAGAACAAGGCACTCGTGGGTATTGTCAGAATACAATTGGGTGTTTCAGTGGTACGATATAATAAAACTCAACAGAAATGGTTAAAGGAAGATAGACAGGCAGGTAATTAGATTGTCTTCTCATCTCTGAAACCTACTAATTAGTTTGAATTGCATCTTAGCAGTAGAATACCATATAAGCCAAAGAAAAGACAGATGAGGAAAATATAGAAATATATATAGTTAAAAATAAAATAAACACATTTTCAAATGGTATCATTCTTTTGAATTTCAAGTCAGTGGTTTGAATCAATGGGAAAAAAAAGATATTTAGATGGTCCAGAACTAGAATGGCAAAACTGGGTCAGAAGTTTCCTCAATGAGCTGGTGTACCAGTAATTCACAGACAAGATAGTTTTTAGAGGGTCCTACTACCGCATTCATTTATTTCTGCCTCAATAGTAGGTCTGAACAAAAAAGCCTTTTTCTGACCAAATAAACCTTTTTTTCTGATACAGATTTTGAGTATAGACCCAGTATCATCTCTGTTTCTGCAAATAGAAGGGTTGATGGTAGAGGTTCTAGGATCAGGGTTGAATCCATAAGGGACACTGAATTTTCTATGCTAGGATTATGTTGGCTGTGATCAATTTAGACCAGTATATCTCAACTTTAAGATATCTTGACTTCAATTCCCAGAATTCCCCAGCCAACATGTTGGGCGTTGCAGTCCATATGTTTTAAAATTGCCAACGTTTAAAAACAGTAGTATAGACTGACTTTCAAATGGGATTATCCTTTTGCTAAACTGGAGCCCAAAATTAGAGTTTTCTCTTTTTTGTGGCTTTTGTGGCTCAGGATCACCTTGATTAAGCCTTTCCTGGCTCCAGAATTTTCATTTTTGGAAATGTATTACAAATGTTATAAATATGGTCTATAAACACCATGTTATTTCTTTAAAAAGTAAATAGTTACCAAAGTATGCTCACTATAACACTAAGATTTATAACAAAAATATAACAACACTTTATAACAAGAAGGGAAAGTGAGAAAATATTATTCAATGTACATTCAATGTCCAGATATGAATGTTAATCTGTCTCATCCATTCTGAGACATTTGGGAGGAAAGATAATTTTGTCTTCCTTTCTTAATATGGATTGAACAAAGGTGTCTGTATGTGTGCATGTGTTGTGAAATGCCAGCAAATTAGGGAACATTACTAAATGCTTAAATATGTACCATGAGCAATCAGATATGCTTTATAGGAGATGCCTGTTTATCATTGCCTCTCATAGCCTTAACCCTAAGCTAATTAACTGTCATAGGGAGAGGGATTCAGTTGTTTGAAGATCTAAACACTGGGAAACGATTACGGTATAGAGCAAGAAAGCAACGTGGGGGTGGGGAAATAATCTTCCAGAAGCTATAAGATTGGCTGTCTCACCCCTTGCTTAATACTTTGTCTGCCTTTTGGTGTTTAGGAAGTAGTCATGTGAGCTTGGAGGAGAATGTGTGCAAGGACTGCTAGAATACGGAGCTTGCAGAGTGCGAGGGGAGACAGGGAAGTGTGTTAGAGACGGTTTAGTAGAAAGGGAAAGTGCAACCGGCTGCAGTTTCAGCTCCTGCAGCTTTGGAGTGAAAGCTTGCGATCCAGCTTGATCACCCATCTGCTCTGCATCCCCAGAAGTGCAAACCTTTCATGGTGCAAAAATACTCCAATGCCAAGAGGGCAGAGGAATAGGGAAAGGAGGCTTTTCAATTTATGAGAATATCTGCTGGGAGACCCTGATAGTTTTCCTACACTTAAGGTAATGCGGTGACTTATTCTATTTCTCTACCTTTTTAATTTTTCAAGAGGACAGAGTCCCTTCTTCTTTGATAAGAAAAACTCAGCTTTTTCATCTTCAAGAACTTATCAAGCTTTTAAAACTCCCCAAAAGTATAGACCTTTTTATTGTTTGGCCCCCTTGACCCAGCATCTAACAGAGCTGGGATTAATCCTATTTTGTCTCATTAATTTCCAGTGGATTAGATTAGAAAAAAATACTTTTGATTTAGCAACTAAGCAATTATTTTATTAAATGCCGATATTCATGATTGTTGTTGTTGTTGTTATTGTTGCTGTTTTTGTTGTTGTTAAAGAAGTCAGAAATGCAGGAATGTAATTTTAGTGGGGATTTTTTTGGGGGGGGGATTTGACTCTTCTCTTCTCTTCTCCTCTCCTCTCCCCTCCCTCCTCTCCTCTCCTCTCCTCTCCTCTCCTCTCCTCTCCTCTCCTCTTCTTTCCAGGCATTTATCTATTTCTTTCCCTCTCTTTCTGCCAATAGGGCTGGAAGGAGAATTCCCCCATGGAATCCCCAGTGTACATATTTCGTGAAGAGCCGGGTCCCACCTGCCCCTCAGGCTTTTGCCCTTTTCCAAGGAGGACCAGCCACAGCTGGCATGCAGACTGGGAAGAATATGGCAACAGCAGCAATGGTGGATATGAGGACTTACAACAGAATCAGACCAATATCTCCCCAGCTATTCCTATCATCATCACAGCAGTCTACTCTATGGTCTTTGTGGTAGGCCTGGTGGGCAACTCCCTGGTTATGTTTGTCATCATAAGGTAAGTAATATGAAAGGCAATTATCTAAATCTAACCCATGAAAAGGGGAAATTCTTATTGCAGGAAGAAGAGATCAATGAAGGAAAAGAACATAAGAAAATCATAAAACTAACTGGTCCCTGATTAATTATTGCATCTAAGGGGACAGTCTGTAGAGTGATGGTAAATTATATGTTTTGAACTCAGAAGGTTGCATTTTTAATCCTTAGCATTTTGAGGTACAATGGAAAAAGTCTCACCTTAAGTCCTGGAGTCTGCTATCAACGATAGCATTGTGGCTAACTTTGTTAATATTTAAATGTCAAGATTCTTCAAGTGCTGCTTAGTGGAGCATGTTAGAGCATAATTTATAAACAGGTCTATGGGGATGGTTGAGGTAAGGACTGAAGGGGGAGAAAATTATTTCTTCCCAGAAGTGTTATGTTCTGTTTTGCTTAGCTGATGCAGCAAGTGGATAGCTCTTCTGGACACCCAAGTGAAGTAAGAATGACCATTAGTAATACCTGGAAAGGACACCTTCATAGAATACCAGGACTGTTATAAGACTGGAAAGTTGAAAGACATTCCATAAAATGGTATCGGCAAGGCAGTTTTGTACTGTTGATATGAAATCACAGGGATCTATTTTGTCACCAGAAGTTGAGCTTTGCTATAAAAGACGTAATCTCTGTTTTGGATTAGTGTAGTAAAACAAGTAGGGGGAGATTGCCTAAATGGATTTGGTATCAGCCCTGCTTTCATTTGAAATATAGAGAAAACTCTAAATGGACAAAGTGATGATAATTTTTAAGTTATCAGCCTGAACGATGTGACAGTTGAAAACCACTGCAGAAATATGTGGCTAGAGCTCCCCCCAGGGATAAAAATGCCATTTATATTATTACTAATTTTATGTGAAATAAAATGTACATGCTAATTATTCTATTTATCAGTCATCTTTCTAATGATGTCCTTAGCTTTTTAATAATTTTCTTTTTATTCTATATACTTTTAAAAACAAAATATGACTTATAATGAAATTCACCTAAAATGCTACATTTTTGCAAGAAAACGCCCCCTAAACTCACTCATTTCCTTATATATGTGAACAAATTTATATGCATGAAATTACTCAGCTAAATGGAAGTTTTATTTCCAGATCTTCCTTATCTCAATTTACATTTCTGATGCGTAGAGATTTATCAGTGATCAACCTTAAGGATTTGTGATTTATCTGGGGGGAGAATTGGCATGGTGAAGGAGTTATCTTTCTAATCACTTCCTTCAAAATGCATCATTTCATATAAATTTATTGAACTTATATAAAATGTTCTGGGGCTCTCTTGGGGTAAAAACCATGGTGACATTAAGACATGGGGACTTTGATTCCCAAAACTGGGGAGCTGGGGAAACTGTGAGTTGAAGTCCACCCACCTTAAAATTGCCTAGGCTCAGAAACATTGGCCTAGAAGTTATTAAAATAAATACAAGAATGGAACATGGGAAATGTAGCAAGTATCCAGTTGTCTGGCTGTTGTATGTTAGTTCATGGAGTCTAGAGACAGTCCTGTGGAGTTTAGCTTAACAGAATTATCTGGTCACTGGGAATGGACTGGATTTTAATCAGGATTTTGTATCCGTGTTTCAGATTTGAGTCAGTTTCTAGTTTTAATGAAATCATTATACATAATTTTGCTTCATATAAGAGTCATTGTGGATATACTTCTGTTTTCAGTGTGCGTGGTGGAAAAATGGTGGTGACAAAACATTGCAGCTAGTAAAGTGAACAAAACCTGAGATTACCCCCACTTCCAAATCTTTAAATCAGTTTCTGCAGTTTTGACTTAATTAAGCGTTAGTGCTCAAGATATTTCCTAAATCTAACAATAATCTAAAAACTCATTTTTCTAAAAGTGCTAGCAGCTATGTGGAATAACATAAGAGAAACCTTGTCAATAAATAAGAAACTATATTTTCTATCTTAAAGTCATCTTCAAGCTGAAGCTGATTCTGATACTTAATTCAACACACTGATGTTGCTTTCTTAGCAAAAAGGATTAACCATTTCCTTCTTCTGAGATGTTTCCTAGTCTAATTTATGGTTTAGCTTGTTTTTGTATTTTTAATACTTTAGTACTTTCTCTTCCTGCATTTGCAAACCATCTATTATTACCTGTGATGAATTTACAGAGAACTTGCTATTTTGATTAAAACCTTAAAACCTCATCTATCATGGGGTATTCAAGTTCTGCAGCTTGTTCTCTACTTGAAATCCAGTAAAAAGTGTTGATAAATTAGAAATAAGGCAGATAGTGAAAAAATATTTTAGAATAATATTAAACAGAAAACTCACACTGTTTGTTTTCCAACAGAGATCAAATGCCTATACATAAGTGTAATACATAACAATCCTATTGCTATTTGCAGGGGAGTGTCAGTCTAGGATATTTCTCCTGTCTTTTCTGATGTAACAAAGTTGTAATCAAAGGAGGAGATACAAACATGGGACTCAAGCTCTTACCCTGATTTGGGGATAGGAAAGTGCTGACATGAAATTGCAATTGATTGAACTCTTAATTCTTTAGTTTCTTGAACTGACATTCACTGTTAACCTGTAATCAGTGTCTCACTTCCTTCAGGAAAGTTTATGATTTTGTTTTGTTTTGAATTCTACTTCTTGATCTTTTAGCAAACCTTCAGTCTCAGAATTATCATCCACAAAACTGGCAGATATTTTCTGAAATAACTTAGCACTGTAAAAATGTGTGTACTGGACACAAAATTTAATCAACAAGCCACTCTACCTTTTACTGAGAATCTAATCTATGTTGGCCTAAAGTGCATTCTATGGTGACTTGCAATCACTTTATATCTTAGATCAGCATTCCCAAATTCCACAGGTCCCATAATCCCTTACCTCGCATTTTGGCTATATTGACTCAGGAATATGAGACTTGAACTTCAGGACCCCAACAAACACAGTATTTGTGAATTTTGCCTTTTATAATTAGAATTTCAATAGAGCATAACATTCTACTACAAATCTGTTTCATTCTTTCCCAAACATTTCCTTTGATTCCATGAGGCTCTAAAGACATGCTAAACAATAGCATTTGCAGCTGCGTTTGCTCCTCTCTTTTTTCCATCAATTACAGATGCTTTTAAGAAGTTACCATCGTTCCATTTTAATTAACTGCAACACTGTCTGGCTTCACGGGCAAGTTAGGGAATACTTATATGCCTTCAAATGTGAGATACAGTATTCATTGTGTGGAATTCTACTGAGCTGTAATAGTTCCGCACTACTAGTACTCCCTAAGTACTATTACTAAGGAAATCTCTAGTCCAAATGCTTTCTCAGCCATGAGAAGGTAAGCTAATTCCCAGACACCTCTCCCCTATAATATGGGGATAATGTGCTTTATAGTTAAATACGTAAAATTGTTTAACATATATTTAAAGTGTTATGAGAAATTAAATAGCTGCAATGGAAAAAAGGAGCAATTTTGTTTAAATAAAGGCTAGAGATTTATGACCGGTCAAGTTGAAAATAGTTCAATTAAGTGAAGCTTGGCATCCCTCCTTCCCTCATTTTGCAATCTGCAGATAGCAAGAAAAATCAAAATTTCACAGTAATCAAAGCAAGCCATCTGGTGGTTTCCAGTGATGTTGTGCCTAGCTTCTGTAGATGTGTGCCTGGCTCTCTTTCTCACAAAGGGCAGCAGCATCTAGTAGCTACTGAAGGAATGCTGGCTTCTATTATTCTTGCTATAACAATGCCCTTCATTAACTTAACAAAAGTGGAATTGGAACAGGCATATGCAAACTGCAATGAAATAGAGCAGATAGACTTGAGAAATGGGAACAATGCTCAGAGCTGTGTATCATGAGTTCTTTCTAGTGTCACTAGAGACACCTAGCATTAGCTTGTATTATCTCCAGGCTATTATTTATCCAGCCAACTGCTTTCCATACTCCAAAACTTCTTATCACTGAAAGGTTCAGGAGGCAGTGAAGAGAATCAAGCCACCATATCAACAGTCAGTCTACACAGTGCTTCAGACAGCTGGGTAATTAGAGCATCCCCACAAATTGGTTTATGGCTTAATGTTTATAACTCTGCTTCTTTGGATATGGCTGGTCTCCTCCTCCTCCTCCTCCTCCTCCTCCTTCTCCTCCTCCTCCTCCTCCTCCTCCCTTTTTCCTTTTTTCCCTTCTTCTCCATCTTTAAATATATGATTGTTAATGGAGCAGTTGGACTTTTGAAATTTGATGGACAAAAACATTGGGAAGAAAAATTTTCACATTTCTTTGTAGGGAAGAGAAATTCTTCAACAAATTCACAACATTTTACCTCCTGGAGATAAAAAAATCCAATAAGTCTTCCTCCAAGTGACACTGGATACACAGGATGCAATTATTGTTGAAAGAGCTAATATTTCAAAATTATGAGGGTGGAGCCTGCAGATAGGCTACTGAGAAGTGAATGTAATTACATTACATATATCCTCATATTCAGTCCTGTAGAACTGAACCTGGCTTGCTTGTCAGTTGTTTGTAAAAGTTTAATGACTCTAGAATTATGTCAAGGGAATCCAAGGAATAGGGCTAAAAGTAAGAAATATTGCAAAATGGGATTTTTTTTTGGTGCTGGTGTTGTAGAAAATATCACGACTATTCATGACTAATTTTGAAATCAAATCTAAATAAATGAGCTATGATGTGCATGCTTGGCAACTGAGAGGCTCATCCCTATACATCTGTTAAGAAGTAATGAAATAAAATTTTCTCAGCAAATATGATAGGACAAACATAAGAAAGACAGTAATGACGTTGAGGAACAAAAATTCAAATACATTTTCAGTTGGATTGCTATTGGATTAATATCTATACCAGGAGTGGGAAATCTGTGTCCCGTCCCCCCCACATATTGTTGAATTACAATTATTAGCCCTTCTCACCATTAGCTCTGCTAGTTGGAGTTGCTGTTCAAGAAGATCTTAATGTTCCCATCCGTCTTCTATATAGGAAGCAAAGCTGAGGGTAGGTGATGCATAGTTCTGGGCATTTTTCTAATGCATTTTTGATTATGGCAATCATACTCATGGGGAGAGAGCCATTGCTATTTTAACATTCTTTTCATAGCAGGGACTTCATTGGAAATGGCATTTCCAGCTTATTTAAATTTGAAGAAATGACTCAAATTTCAATTTGTAATGGACAAGGCACTGCAGCATTATGGGCCTGTTGCCTCAATGCTTTGGTCAAATTAATAATGGCTACCAATGGCAGCGTGACTCATTCAGCAGTTTTGAGTTTCCCTTGTTTTTCAGCTGAACCAGGTTTTTTTTAAAACTGGAAAAGAGCTGGGTGTTATCAGGCTTGGGTATTTTTCCCCCTCAAATTATCTTACATGCTTCCAGTAATGTGCATAATTTTCTAGGTTTTACCTAACAAAACTTTTAGTTTTATGGCAAAACCCAGCTGGGAGAAAAGGTAAGATTGGATAAGGTTTCTGATGAGATTTGAGAGAAGATGGGAAATGATTTTATATTTATAATCATACATTCAGTTATAAGCTCAATACTATATTAGAAAATGCAAAGGATAGAATCCCCACTTTGCCCTAAATACCTTAATACAAATGAGAATGCACTAAAAGTAAAAGGGGCACTTTCTTATCACATCTTGAATGCATGTGTAAGTGTTTATTAAGTAATGTTGGTAACTAGTCAGCATAAACAGAATTCATAACATTCTACTATATGCGCTTTGTTTTTTTTTTAATTAAATCATAAAAAGGTATACATTTTTATTAGATGAAATACTTTAGCTAAGGATAAAGTGCTCTGAGAAGCTACACCAATTAATTGTATTTAGTTATTTTTGTGCTTTGACACCTGGTGTTCTGACTTAGGCTTCCTGAGAAAGCATAAATCACAAGCTTAGTCCCCTAAAACCTCTTTTATTGAGACGGCTGTGAATTATGATCATTCACAGCCCATAATCATTCACAAACAGTCTGTGAAAATTCCAACAGATGTCTGCTCTAGTTGACACAGCCTTTCAGGGTAATATTGATAAGCACCCACCTTTATCTTCCTTGAAATGCGGCCAGAGACTTAATTGCCAATTAGTTTTGCAAGGCCAAACGGAGCACAGAGTCAAACTGACTTTTCAGAGCTTGAATTGACTATATGAAGTAATTGCTTCCTGCAAAGACTCACGTCCGTTTGATCATCTTTTATGTCTTATGGGAGGGGCCAATCATTTCCAAGCCTTACTCCCGAGTTGCCTTTTTTTTTCTTAATTGTTCTTGCCTTCTGGCAGCTCTGCGCATTCGCATACTGGGAACTGTCTCACACTGTTCTTCTGCCTCACTGATATCAGATTCTGGAGGTAGCACATAACTACCAGATGGCTCTGGTCCTCTCTCTGCCTCTGACGCAGAGACCTCGTCCGAGCCTTCCCCAGACTCTAGGACTGGCCCATGTTCCTCCCCAACCTCCTCACTGTCCAAATCTGCTGTCAGGTCTGCTGGCCGCTGGCAGGCCACAACACCTGGCTGCCCTTCCTAGCATTCTGATTCTTTATAGTTTGACCCCCAACTTTCAGTGTCTAGTTTCTTCCCTCTGGAACTTGGTTTGGTATTTGACTGGTTTGGCATTTGTCTCCTGGAGTGATGGAGTGACAAGTCTTCTTTGTGCCTTTGGACATGAGTAATGCCCTTTTGGATTTAGATATCCTTTTTGAAGTTAGATCTTGAATTTATAGTTGCATGTTTGTGCTTTTTGTCTCTTGTCTAAGACAGAAAATGACAATTTATTTTTTGAAAAGTGAGAGAGAGCACATACTAACATTGAAAACATCATTGAGAAAATGAGATACAGAATTTCGAGATTTGTCTCCCTGAAATCTACAAGCCCAAATCAAATTGGGTTGTTCTGTAATTATACAATAACTTTTAATTAGACAGAGGAACTAAACACATGTCAGCCAGTAATTAAACTTTCATTGAAATCTGTTTTGTCCTAGATTTAGGAAAAATGTGGCAAGGCCTGCATCATTCTCCATGTAATATTGACATATCTTGAAATCCTTCAAAATCAGAATTAGGTGGTACTGGATTCTTTGTTCTTTCCTAAAGGCCATGAGATTCAGATCCATTGCTATTTTAATTTTAGTTTAATGGAATCAAGTTTCGATAGTAGACATGAAAAATAGGACAAGTTCAGTTACAGAATCTGAAGGCTTTTTCGTAAAGACAGACAGTTCTGTTTGGCCTCTTGTAATACATTATCAATTGCATATGCCAAACCATCCATTTGAAACAGTTATATAAACCTGTTATTTCTGTCTTTTTCACTAATGCAAATGAATATATTATTTTAAAAAGAAGAGCAAGATACTATGAACAAGAAAACATTAGACTGGAATAGTATGGTGCTTTATAGGTATTATTCAATAATTCAAAGGCATTATTGTAAGAGAGACTATTACATTCATTGTACTATGGTACTGATTGAATATTCTAAATATTAGAAAAAAGTCTCCCATGATCTCTTCTCTCTCTCTCATTCCCAAGGTAGTCACCGCCTTGGAATTTCTAAATGTTATGGAAGTAATGCAATCAGATATGAACAGCACTACACTGTTATTAGGTACACTTAGCATTTAATAAAACAGTCCTGACTAATACCTATGGAGTTAAATATTGATTATATTATGATAACTGCATTTTGCTTTGTATTAAAGGAAACAAATCTTATGTTTTACTAGTTCTCAACAGAAAACCTTATATTTTCATTAGCTAAAAATAAATTTTGTTGTTTTAGGGTAGCCTAATTTGCACAATCTCATTAATTCAATTCTGCTTGTGGCAAGTAAACTTAATTGTTAACATGGCACTGCAACATTAAATCAAGGAAATTATGGAGTAAAATATTCAGTTGCTGATACTGAAGGTTGATGTAACCATCATGTTTGTTGCCTTGTTTTCCCTCTGGAAATATTCTCTCAAACTTCATGACCCACCAAAGCGGAAATCACATACAAAGCTAAATGATTGTCCTATTTACAATCTACTTTTCTCAAATGTGTTAAACTTTATGGAGTTCACACATCAGTCACGATATTTTGCGTGGCAGAGGAATGTAAACAAATATGAAATAGATTCAAACAATATAATTGTAGTAACCTTTGTTTGGTGGACAAAAATATTTTACCTTTCTTTCTTCAAAGAAAAGGAAGCAAAAATTATTTTCCTTATTTAAAACACATTTTTTTAAATAACGGTTTATTAAAAATTGGTATAATAACAGCATGTGATGGAGCAGAAACTTATCCTATAGTATTCATTCATCAAAACAGTGATTTGTGTTGATTTATATCTACCCCCAATAAGACTAAATCTGGAGGTAACTTTTATATGTTAGGTTTCAGCACTGACTCAGATGGAGCAGCTGCACCACAACATAGAAAAGCAGACAATGTGTAAATGAAGGCATGTGTTTTGTTCCCAGAGACCCCCATGCATTTTTATTCTTGCCAAAATATTCCCCCATAAGAACCTCAAAGTAATAAACAAAAACTATTACCTTGAGGTAAGCAGTTTGGAGTGTACCATCTCTCTCTCTCTCTCTCTCTCTCTCTCTCTCTCTCTCTCTCTCTCTGTGTGTGTGTATTATGCAAAATAGTGATGTTTTGTAATAGTCTCTGTATTAGATTTATGGAGAAATATTTACAAACACTTCTTTTGTTTTAGGTACACAAAGATGAAGACCGCAACAAACATTTATATTTTTAATTTGGCTCTGGCAGATGCTCTTGTCACCACAACTATGCCTTTTCAAAGTACTGAGTATTTGATGAACACTTGGCCCTTTGGGGATGTGCTGTGTAAAATAGTCATTTCAATTGACTATTATAACATGTTTACAAGCATATTCACCTTGACCATGATGAGTGTAGATCGTTACATTGCTGTGTGTCACCCAGTAAAGGCTCTGGACTTTCGTACTCCTCTGAAGGCCAAGATCATCAATATATGCATCTGGGTCTTATCTTCATCTGTAGGCATTTCAGCCATTGTTCTTGGAGGTACCAAGGTCAGGGAAGGTGAGTACAAACACTGATTTTATATCTAGACTGTAAAACATTAAGGTATATTTTATTGTTGATTCCTAAGCCAATTCTGTGTGCTTTTCTAATTTAATGAGAAGTAGCAGAAGTAATTCTATTTCTGAGAATCCGTCCTTTGAGGTCAGCCCTGTAAGTCAGGAAATCGATTCCACTAAAACACTCTTTATTGTTGCAGGATATAATAACAAAATCTTGAAAGCCTGCCACCATTTCCCTTTTTCCTCTCTTATGCAATGCAGAATCAAGGCAGGATTATTTAAAGTCTCCTTCTATGCTTACTACTTTCCTATGGCTGAAATTTCATTTACAGTCTCTCTTATTTTATTTTATTTTTTTATTTTTTTAATTATTTTATTTTATTTTAAACATATTTATTGAACCACCCATCTTTCAACCAATTCTGGGCATCTCCCAATCAATTGATTTAACTATTTAATTACAAACATATGAAAAGAACAAGGGATCAGATTTTCACACTACTCAATACAATTCTGGTTAATAATACTGCTTAAAAATTATAGGTTGGATTATAAATGAGTAGTACATCATGGCAAGCCGTAACATGATTTCTCCTCTTTTGACTTAGTATGCTGTAATTTATTCAATGAAGTGTAGATAAACAATCCATGGCTTAGTCTAGTGCTACCAGATCTGGATTGCAAACATCTGGACAAATAGGAGACGGCAAGGAAAGAATTTCAGAATATTTTTTTTTCCAGAATCTTTTCCCCCCGGCATGTACTCAGAGTTTGTCCTGTTTATTTCTGAATGTCTAATGATCATCCAGATTTTTGAAGCTTAAGAATTAAATTAATTTTAGTTGGAAGTACTGAACTGACTTATTATGCTTTTCAGAACTCCCACCAGGGGCGGGTGTCAAAACCCCTTGCTACCGCTTCACTCATGGGTGTGTGCGCGTTCGCGTGTGTGCGTGCCAATTCTGTGCATGCGCAGAAGTGTCAGGTGGGTGGACGGACCCTCCCGCCGCCACCATTACTGGTATGCCTGATCTGGGGCGAACCGGTAGCAACCCACAACTGGCCCCTACCCTTGACTTTTACATAGTCTCCAAATCAAAACTTTGCACAAATAACAATAGCGATAGCACTTAGACCTATATACCGCTTCATGGTGCTTTACAGACCTCTTTAAGCAGTTTACAGAGTCAGCATATTGCCCCCAACAATTTGGGTCCTCATTTTACCCACCTCGGAAGGATGGAAGTCTGAGTCAACCTTGAGCCAGTGAGAATCGAAGTGCTGGCAGCTTACAATACTGCATTCTAACCACTGGCTGTAAATAAAAACTATTTATCTAGCAGTTAAGTTAGCATTTACTTTTCTCAAAACTAGTATGTGATATGACAGCTAACTAAGAAGGCAAAATGTTTTGAATTTACAGTGCTCCATTTCCAGCAAAAATAATTGTTTCAAAGCAATTCTGACGTTTTTTTTGAAGATGTATGATATTTGAAACAAGTTGGTTTTGAGTTCAAAATGGGATCTCTAAAATAAACAGGGCTATTTCAAGAACAAAATATTTTGAATTTCAGATGTTTTTTCACACTCCTATAACCTATTCCAAGCAACAATATCTGTAAATACATTTTCCATAGTTTCTGAAATGAAGAATATGTGATTTATAGCATACATCAAGGTTGAGCCATGGTGGCACAGTGGTTAGAGTGCAGTACTGCAGGTTACTTCTGCTGACTGCTGGCTGCCTGCAATTTGGCAGTTCTAATCTCACCAGGTTCAAGGTTGACTCAGCCTTCCATCTGGGTAATGGTGTGTAAAATGAGGACCCAAATTGTTAGGGGCAACATGCTGAGTCTGTAAACCACTTAGAGAGGGCTTTAAAGTGGTATGTAAGTCAAGTGCTTATTGCTAGTGTTATAAGAATCCATTGAATCACATTATATTAATTTCTATAGTCCATTTTTCATCAATCTCAAAGGAATATGTATGCTACCCAGTACTGGAATAATATCAATAGGCATTTTTAAAGTTAAACTTTAATATAATTTCTCTTAAATTATTAGTATTGTTATATATGTCACTTTGTACAAGTTTCCTAAATATTTCAATAATGATAATAAAATAATAATGAAATCATTTTGTATGTTCACTTGTGAGCCACAAACAGGCTGTTCTTACAGTAAGCCACATCATGATACTTACATTAGTAGGTAATGTAATCAAATAAAATTTGATCTGAATATACTGGTATAGGAGGAAGTTGGGAACTGCCTACATGTAAAAATATATTCCCTGTGGCAAACGATACTTGCAAATTGCTCTGTAAGAGTGTCCAAAGTGTTATCCTGGAAAGTGATGAGGAAATATACATACAGTGGAGAATGCACTAGAGTATTCTGCATTCTCTGCATACGTAGAGTATGCAGTTTATATCCACTGGATCAAAGAAGTATATTATTTTAAAAACTGGATTCCAAGCACTGGCAAACCAATTTAGTTAAACCACAGGCTGAAGGAGAGAAGAGAGTAAAGAGGCATTTCAGCACGAAGTTGCTCCATGGGACCAAATAACATATGCCAGGCAGGGGCGAGTTCCAAATCCCATTGCTACCGGTTTGCTCGTGCACGTGCGGGGCGCTTCTGCGGGCAGGTGGGCGGAGCCTTCCACCACCGGCGCTACCGGTTCGCCCAATCGGGCTACCCAACCCACCACTGATACCAGGTTAGTGAAGCTGTTCTCTACTGGTTCCCAAAAAAACACATTCAGTCAGGCAAGAGTCTTGTAAAACAGGTGATCTACAATAAAGAAACTGCGTTGATTTTTTCATAGAGTTCTTCTGGTTCCTTGAACCTGACACCAATTGAAAACCTAAATTAAACTAAAAATTGAATTAATTTAAATTAAACTGAACCAGAGTTGATGTGCTGATGTACTAGGTGTTCATTTTTCTTTTCTTTCCTGCCTTGTTTTGTTAAATATTATAATCATACCCATGATTTTGAGACCAACAAGCTTCAAGTTCTGCTACTGTCTAGTTGGACCCAGTTACTAGTCTTTGTGCACCAAACCTGTGATTTTCTTGGTAAAAGGCACTTTTTAAAAAACAAATGAGTAAAAACCCATTTTTCTTTTTATTCAGTTGAGTGAGCTGATGCATTATAATAGCAAATAGAATATATTCTTCTCCTGCAGACATTTCTCAATTTCTCAGCTGAACTTGCCACTTACATAACTCTTTAAAAGCTATGGTTACCCTTCTAACCACTTCAGTTCATTATTAGTAGTAGGATTGCCTGAAATTAATACATTTTTGAAATACATTTGCAAAGTTCATCCATGAATATCTGCAGAAGTATCAAAACTTTAGGGAGTGTTTTAGTAAGTAGCAAATCTATTATGGAGAATGATAGGTTTGTAATTAGAAAGGACATATTTAATTAACAAGGATTCTCTAAAGTTCATTTCAGTAATGCAATAGACTATACAATACCTTAACTCAGTGGTGAAATTCAAATTTTTTTACTACTGGTTCTGTGGGTGTGGCTTGGTGGGCGTGGCTTGGTAGGTGTGGCAGGGGAAGGATACCGCAACATCTCCGTTTCCTCCCCACTCCAGGGGAAGGATACTGTAAATCCCCATTCCCACCACACTCTGGGGCCAGCTAGAGGTGGTATTTGCCGGTTCTCCGAACTACTCAAAATTTCCGCTACTGGTTCTCCAGAACCTGTCAGAACCTGCTGGATTTCACCCCTCATAACTTATATTTACCCCGGTTCCTTAAGTTTTTTGTTTGAGTGAAAGAGCTCCTGTGCATACAAGTAGTTCTCAACTTACAAACATTTGTTTAGCAACTATTTGAAGTTACAACAGCACTGGAAAAAATGACTTGTGACTATTCCTTGCATTTACAACTGTCGCAACACCCCATGGTCATGTGATTGAAATTTGGTTACTTGGCAGCCAGCAAAAGGCTTCTGACAAGCAAAGTCAATGGGGTAAGCCAGATTCACTTAACAACCCTGATATTCATTTAACAATTATAGTGATTTGCTTAACAACCATGGCAAAAAAGTTCATAAAATTGGGCACAAGTCTCTTAACAACTGTCTTGCCTGGCAATGGAAATTCTGGTGCCAGTGGTGGTTGTAGGCTGAAGACTACCTGTAATGAGCCTTGGTGGCGCAGCAGACTAAAGCACTGTTAAGTAACACCAGCTGCCTGTAATTACTACAAGTTCAAATCTCACCAGGCTCAAGGTTGACTCAGCCTTCCATCCTTTCAAGGTAGGTAAAATGAGGACCTGGTTTGTGGGGGCAATAAGCTGACTTTGTATAAAGTTAGCTTATTTAGGGGGAAGCTGAAAGCCCTACTAAGCAGGTATATACAAAAGTATGAAGGCTATTGCTTAACGCATTGTAAGCCGCCCTGAGTCTCCGGAAAAGGGCGGCATATAAATCGAACCAATAAGTGAATGAATGAATGAATGAATGATATCCTTTGCATTTTACTGGGAGAAATTCAGTAAACATCTTGCAGATTTTATTAGAATTAATTTCCATTAGTAGGCCATAATGTTTTCATGTAAACTTCAATTTAATCAGTGGAATCCATATCTGGGGTATATTAAAATATGCCTGTTAATAGTTCACCTCTGATTTGTAAGAATGACTGTCAAGACAAATGCAATAAAAGAGAAAAGAAAATTTTATGAATCTTGCCTGCAGAGCTTGATTTTAGCCTTCAAAAGTGATATGGCTTTGAATCCTTGTAAATTCTATGCTATTTGCTTTTTTCTGAAATTGTTAATTTAACGTATTCATTTGTTTTCTTCTTATGGGTCCCTTTACGTACAGATACCGGCAGTACTGAATGTTCTCTTCAGTTTCCAGATGATGACTATGTCTGGTGGGACATCTTCATGAAAATCTGTGTCTTTGTCTTTGCCTTTATTATCCCAGTCCTAATTATTATAGTTTGTTACACTCTGATGATCCTGCGCTTGAAAAGTGTGCGGCTCCTGTCTGGATCACGAGAAAAAGATCGAAACCTCCGCCGTATCACCAGATTGGTTCTTGTTGTAGTTGCAGTTTTCATTATCTGTTGGACCCCCATCCACATTTTTGTGTTAGTTGAGGCTCTTGGAGATGTCTCACATAGCACTGCAGCCATTTCTAGCTACTATTTCTGCATTGCATTGGGCTACACCAACAGCAGTCTAAATCCCATTCTATATGCATTTTTGGATGAAAACTTCAAGCGTTGTTTCAAAGATTTCTGCTTTCCTTTTAAGATGAAGGCAGACAAACAAAACACCAGCAGAGTTAGAAACACAATTCACAATCCTGCTCATGCTGGGAACGCTGATGGTACAAACAAACCAGCATGACTAGTTGTGGAAATGTCATCCTATTGTCCTCCTGGAAGAGAAGAATCCAATGATCTTGGATTAACTCAAATAACTACAGCAGTGTGAAATGGACAGTAAAAGGACCATTTGATATTATTTACAAAGCCCCACAGTTTCAACTGAAATATAGCCACCAAGATGTCCTTCATCTATGTTCACTGATGATGAATTCTGTTTCAACAGAACTTTGTATATAGCAAAGTAATCATCTGGGGCAGAAGAAGAGAACTAGTCGTCCCTTCCCCATTTTTGATGCTTTATGTATGTTTTATGTGGATGTTTTAGTGATTGCTGAAATTTTTATTAAGGAGTAATGTGACTTCAGCATATCACTAGTTTTATTGTACTTGTCAGAATAGCAAATCAGCATTTCCTTTTATTGATTATATTGACTAAGTATGCAGTACATTTTCAGCTATTTATATGGCCTTAAATAATACACACACACAAAAAAGTGACGTCTAGCCTATTGCAACTGTTGGAAATTTCTCCTGAATGGGTTCACACAGCACTGTAATGATTGATATGATGATAATGTGTCATGTGATCAACGGAAACATTTAATTATGGATTTTCTATTTTCAATGAATAGCTTTTAATTGGAGGGAACACTATATATGAGGAATAAGGCTATGTGAATTTTATTTATTTAAGCAATTTGTATTGTACTTTTGGGGTGCCCTAATGTTCATGGGCTATAGCTTAGTGTAAAAATTCTGTGTTCATTCTCCAGGTGGAATAATGAAGACTTTATTAAATCTGATGGACAACCAGGCTGACCCGAACAAAATTTACTGAATGATACAAATCCAGGTGTCTACTCCAGAATGTGCATATATTGACCCTAAACTGGAGCTGTTAACATATACAAAAGAATTAGGGATCATATATTAGTAAACATATCGAATGCAATTATGATATGCAGTCAAATCATAGAAATAGAAGCTCAATGTTCCCATTAGTCTCTAGCAAATTAATTCATCTCATTCACTAACAAAATTAATAAGTGAGTGCAATTTTGTTAAGATGAACCATAACGGAAATACTTTTATCAAGAAACAAGCTAGGCTGCTTATTCTTTGTAATATAGATTGAAAAAATTCTATTGAAAAATAGATTGGAATGCTCACATATGGCTGTTTTGAGGTCTGGACTTTCATCTTATTTTGGAACTTTCCTAGTCTCCCATACCAATTGAGTATTTCTCTTTTAACACGTCTAAAGGCCAGAAAAACCTGTATCTAAACATGCACATATGCCTGGAGCTTTGTGAGTTGCATATGTTTCCTTGCTGTTTTCTTGTATCACTTTGCTTCAGATGCTTCTGGATTTGTATGGAAGTCTCTTCTCATTATAGCAAAGGAGACAACCATGTTATGGCATTGGACCTAATTATGTGAGGGCCACCTATGCCTGACCGTTTCTGCCCATCCAGTAAGATCCAGCAAATGATACACTTGAGGTTCCCTTAATTAAGCATGGTATCGTATAGACATGGCTTCTCGGACCAACCCTTGTCCCCCACCACATTTCCATCCCAAAGATCAAATAGTTCCCACCAGGATGATGTTCCAAAAAGGACTGAAAAAGCTTTTTTCCCAGGCCTTATAGTAGAGTGGCTGGTGGACCCTGTAAGATTTTGTCTTGTTAAGTATGTTTTGTTTTTCCTGGATGAGAGATATATATTCTTTACTATTCTGGCTTTGTATAATGTAAATTGCTCAGAGTTGTTTGGACTTGACCATTCATTAAATATATGTCAGTCAGTCAATCAATCAATCAATCAAATCAGGTGATTCTTGAGGTGTCATGGTGGAACAATTAGATTTTATAAGTGAAAGGTGTATCTCAGATTGGAATTTGGCAATATTTGCCTTCAGGAAAATGTATTCATTGCCTTTTCACATAGTTCCAATGTTTTCCATAGTAGCCTTCTTATAACAGTGCTGATCACGTCCTTTCAAAATTTGCTTACGAACCTATAATGAATGGAGATCGCTATTCTACCCGGAAGCCTCAACTAGAAATACTTGTTCAGTATTAAAAAAAATAAAAAGCATGTGCCATTTTTTAAACTGTTCAATATAATCTTTATTATTAGATCAACTGTAGAGGATAAGGAAAGATCATTTACTCTTTCTCTCACTATTGTGATCCTGTTGAAAATGGCTTTTCTCCTTAAAAATATTATTTAAATGTTTAAATGTTAAAAGAAGTAGAAGAAGGATGGATGTATATTAAACAAAAGATAGTTGCACTGAGAAGAAAGAGAGAGAAAAAAAGTGGAAGGGAACAAAACTGGAAGAAGATGAGGCACAGAAAAGAGACACCCGGACAGAGAAGGAAATAAAAGAGAGAGGAGCCCTTCAGGAGTTCAGAGGGGTAAAGGCACCAGGCGGTATCTCCCTTCCAAGCAGGTTAATCTTCAAGTATTCAAGATTTGCAATATTGAAGTCTGCACCAGTGGTGGGTTTCTACTGGTTTGCTCCGGTTTGGGTGAACCAGTAGTGGCGGCAGCGGGATGCTCCACCCACACGCCCGACATCATCACAGACACCTGCTCATGTCCAGAAGGTTCTGTGCATGCGCAGAAGTACTTGCATGCGCGCGCTCACAGTTTCAAACCGGTAGTGAAGGTAAGTGGAACCCACTACTGGTCTGCATCCAATTGCATCCTTTCTTCTTGCACTTCTCTTTTTACTAGCAAGTAGACGATATTCTTTCTAGTAATTTAGAAGTAACAATGGGGATGATGGGAAAACCCTTATTTTCCTATGGATAAACATGAAGATATTAAAGGCCATAACGGTAGCAGAATTTTGTTGCAGAATAGCACTGCCAACTTCCAGTGATCTAAGAAGTGGAATGATGGCTGCTATCTGCCTGCCCCCCTCTTTCTCTGTTTGAAGCTAACTAATATCATTGCTCTTCATTATTAATGTAGTGGTAGTCCTTCATCTTAATCCTGACTGTTCTTTTCCCTGATTTCATCTTCTGTTGAAAAGAACCTAAACCTAAACCTAGATTTGTTTTCTTTTATCTGACCCCAGATATGTGGAATGTAATGGGTACTCAATGGCAAAAGGCAGTCTAATCCACATCCTCCAATGTCATCTAGGATAGGATACATTGGATTCTTGTAGCACCTCTGTACTCATACTAAAGTTCATTACATGTCTTATATTATTAACAGAATTCTCTTTCAGCCTCCTCCCTGCTCCCCCAAGTCCTACTACACTGCCTCATTGTGGTGGGGATGTTCCTGGGAAGGATGAGTTTATCAAGCTAAAATAAGCAGGCATCTAGAAGGCAATGATAAACCACTCTTTTTACCAGGAAAATTTGAATAGAAAATATAAAATTACTAACAACAAATTTATCCATGTTGTTAGTAAGAGTCTGACTAGGTGGTTCAGTGGCTAAGACACTGAGCTTGTCAATCAGAAAGGTTTGCAGTTTGGTGGTTCGAATCCCTACTACAGGTCTCCTGCGTGAGCAGGGGGTTGGACTAGATGACCTCCAAGGAACTCTGTTACTGTTACTGAGTCAGTAATGACTTAATGACATTTAATCAATCAGGAGTAGCACATCTGAGACTTCAAAAGCCCAGTTGTTCTGCCATCTGAAGGCAAGGGCCCAGAATGTTGTGAATCATGATAAGGGTTTTTTTGTGGTGGCACCTATTATGGATTCCTCTTTATACAGGAAATATAATTAATCCAATATTGTTAAAACAAAGAATATTCAAAACAAGATTATTCACAAGCATTTATGAGATAGTATTGTCCAAGGACCAGGATATTTCTTAAATTGATCCTTCTAAAAGTTATAATTGATATATTCCCTTCCTTCCTTCCTTCCTTCCTTCCTTCCTTCCTTCCTTCCTTCCTTCCTTCCTTCCTTCCTTCTTCAGTTTTATTTGCATCAGATCATAACCTTACAGTGGAACCTCTATCAAGGCTATTTAGAGAAGATAAGGTGTCTTGTAGTCAACACCTGGGGATGGTCCATGACATGTCTAATCAATACCTTGATAACATGGATACCATCTGCCAAACATCTGCTTATGAGGAAATTGCTCTTAATAAGCAGTTATTGTTATGTGCAATTGAAGCTCTGGTCAGTTTCAGGAAGCAGCATTTTCCAGCCAGAGGATTCTAATCAACTAATTAAGGTTACAGCGCTGAGCTTGTTAACTTGTAGTTAGCACTTTTTAAGGATATGCTGTGCTGTGCTGTGGGAAACATCAACTCAAGAAAGGATGGCTTATTTAAACTCTCTCTCTGCAGTACAACTGCAGTGCAATGTTTTTATGTACTGAAGTATTCAATATAGATGTCAAGTGCTTAATGAAGTACCAAAGAAGTTTAAGGCCCAGGATTAACGCTAATGATCCCAGCATTTATTGGGTTTTCTTGGAAGGCATACTATCTACAGAAATTTTCTGCTGTAACTGAGCCTTAGTATTTTGCTATAGCTTTCACTCCTGACCTTGCTCATTCTTTACTCTTGTCTTTTTTCCATTAGGTCTGGCTGCTGTTTTTCAAAATTGCTATAAATTTCATATTTTAATTGTTTTTATTCTTCTCTTTTGGCTATGTTCACCAGAACAATAAAATTGGAAGATTGTATATTCTGTATAAAATTCCTGATTACAATTCTGCAATCTCTTAATCAGGGATAGAGTTGGGATGACCAGATGGAGCTTAGCATTTACTGGCTGGATGCCCTTCCTGACACCATGCAGAGTTCACAGCAGATATTTTTTCTTTGCACCCTAGGAGAGGAAACATCTGCCATTACCTAAGATTAAACTCTCAATCTTCCAAGTGGGGGCGAGTTCTTCACCACGAGGCCACCACGCCGCTCATGTATTCTCATACTATATATTCTGTATCTATGGAGCAAAAGGTTAGCAGGGAATAATGGCAGGTGATGTTGGCTGAAAATTAAAGCTCCCTTCAGTGCTATTTAACCTTTGTCCTGGGGGCTGCAAAATTTAGTAAACATGCCATAATGTGATATAGAGGAAAGGCATAGAAAACAATTTTATTAACATAAAGAGTCTGAAAGAGAGACATTTCCAAAGTATGTTTTGATAGCATCAGCTGCTTGGAGAGATTAGATCAGCATAGATTTTACAAACAAGGCCATTCTGCATCTGTTATTCATACTAGCAGAAGGGCAGTATGTATTAATTCACACCAGGGTACAACATATGTATTTTATTGCTAGACACAACTGATAATTAATGAATATGCTAAGAAATAAAGTGAAGGAAAATCTATACAACATAGCCAAAAGGTAATCTTAAAATATAATGGCATGTTCCTTTATTTTTTTGTTATTGTTGATAGCTTAAATACACATGCCCACACACTGCATACATATGCAGAGGCTAGTTGTGCTCATTTTAAGCAGTACATTGGCTTGGAAATAAATATGAAAGATACTCTGTACATTTTGTGATGAATGAAACAGGAAGCAAGCACTTGGAATTGTTTTGCTTGTATCTCTTCATATTCAGGAAATTGGACTTCAGTGCAGATGAAAGCCCATCCTACCCAGAAAAGTATTTTGTATTTCAGTATAATAAACCAACTGTCTATATTCAGCTTTCTTTATCTAACATTTTAAAAAATATTATCTTATTTTTTTTCGGCATAAGCTTGTCAATTTGTATGCCCAAATTAGTTGGCTGATGACCTTAGATAAGCTTTATCTAAGGGTTTCTCAACCTGGGCAATTTTAAGCTGTGTGTATTTCAACTCCCAGAATTCCCCAGCTAGCATGCTGGGTATTGAAGTCTCACATTTTAAAATTGTCAAGAGTGAGAAACACTGCCTTAGTCTCTTAATTCCCTTTCCATTTGGATGATATTATGTACCATGTTTCCCTGAAAATAAGACCCTGTCTTATATTTTTTTGAACCCTGAAATAAGCACTTGGCCTTATTTTCAGGGAGATCTTATTATTTTGGGACGCATGGAGCAAGACAGGGCTCTTCTTGCTGTCTTATCTGATTTCCAGCTCTGTCTCCCTAACCCTAACCAGAAGAAATGGTGGGGACTGGCTGCACATGCATTTAAATATTTTCGGGGAGGGCTTATTTTCAAGGAGAGCTTATTTTAGCACATACACTCAAAAGCCCGATTGGCTTATTATCCGGGGAGGTCTTATTTTTGGGGAAACAGGGTATTGTATTTATATTAGATTGTTTCACTAAAAATTAAGAGTGTATATTTTAATAGTATCTGAAAACTGTTGACTGTTTCCTTGTAACTTGATTCATGAGAATATCAAGTAGAAAAATATTTTATAATATTATGGTTTCCAGACTTCAGATTTCTAGTGTTCACAGGGAATCATAGAACTGCAAGCAGCTTGTGTGATTCAAAATGTACTGTTAACTCTAAAATATCCTTAAATAACCCAAAATAACCTAAAATAACCATACAGCCTAAAATACGCTTTGGCTGTATGAAGTATAAAAAGTCAAATGAATGGCATATTGCAGTAAAAGAACTATTTAGAAAGTTTAATTTTTTAGCTATTGTTATGGAATGTTTTAACTTGCCAATTTCATTCAGTTACTTTAGAAGAAAACAGAGACATTATTGATCTTGAAAGAAGCATAGCAATCAACTTGTTTTCCTGGATTGTATTAAGGTATTAAAATGTGAAATGAGGGTATAATGGTTTTCTTCACAAGACTACAGGTGGAAACAGTGGAGAGGAAGGCCTTTCCCCAACCTTTTTATCTAGAAAAGATGCTCTGAAATTGGTTAGTTGTGCATTTTGTCATTTGATTACTGCAATTTACTCTACATGGAGTGGCTTTTGAAGATTACCCAGAAATTTCAGTTTATGGAAAATGTGCTGCCCGAGAGTTTAAAAGACAATATTGGAATTATGATATAAAACTACAAAACTGCTAAAGCTGTTATGAGAGCTGCATCAGTCCTTAATCTATTTCTGAGTGCCATTCAAGTTACTGGCTCAGACCCTGGGTATCTTAAGAGACTGGCTATGCTAAGTAGATTCAGTACATGCTGAAACATCCCTTGTGTGAAATTCCAGTGAAATTCCAGAAAACAATTAAAATCTGGCTTTGCCAGAAGACCTTTAGTGATTAAGCAGCTAAAATAAATTGCATATTGTGATTGCTACACCGTCAAAGCTGACATCATAGACCAACTCAAAGAAGTATTGCAAGATTGGAAGATGTGAAGGGACCTGATCCTCCTCTTCCTCCTCGGTAGTGTTCCCTCCCCCTTTTTTGCTGTTTATTGTATTGTTCCTTGTAGTGTGTTTTGACTTGGCATTCTGTTTCGAACCAATTTATACATCTTATAAATTTTAAAAAAAACCAATAAAAACCATGTATGGAAAAATTATTGCTATACCAGCTCTCATTATCATTTCGACATCTTCATTTATCTGAAGTGGTTAACAGACAATGTGGTGGGGAATCTATCCTGTAGCAAGGTAAAAAGAAGTTCTTAAAACTCAAATACTGAAATTCTCATTGCCTCAATGTCTTTGAGTACACCAAGTACAGGTAATCCTCAATGTATGACCACAACTGAATCTAATATTTCTGTTGTTAAGTGAGACATTTGTTAAGTGAATTTTGCCCCATTTTATGAGTGTTTGCCCCATTTTATAAGTGAATCACTGCAGTTGTTGAATTAGTAACATGGTTGTTCAGTGAATCTGGCTTCTCCATTGACTTTGCTTGTCAGAAGTTCTCAAAAGGTGATCTGCAGTGTTCCTGAGTTTAAAATTTATTTATTTCAATTTAGGTGTGACTCCAAACTACTGTAACTCTTGGCAACTCACAATAAAATAAACAATAAAAGTGCATTCAGAACAAATCAAGATTTGATGCTGTCATTTCATACACAGAGAAAACACATCAACAAAGGGATTGTTCTGTCCCCCCACCTCACATAGGCAGACACACGAGCAAAAGATGTCTATCAGTAATTTATTTTTACAAGCCGACCTGAATCCCTTTGGCAGATAAAAATTCTGGCAGCTACTTTCCGAATGCCTGCCAAGTTTCTTATCACTTCTAGAAACAGGAGTCAGCGTATCTGTAGTCAGTTGCTGGGGCAAGAGTTCAAAGAGTAGTCAGAAGTCATTCACAAAGTCCAAGTCTTAATTCCGAAAAATATTCCATCCGAAGCTCATGATATGCAGTTTTTGTCCATCACAGAGCCTGCAGAGCAACCCCACCCACTTTTATCCCCTGTGGGGCATGGCTCAGTGACTCAGCAATGTCTAGCCCTTCCCTACCTCTTCCTTTGCTGCGCATGCATCTCCCTCCGACGCTGCCTGGGATCAATCCAAGATTGATCTTCATCACTCCCTATTAGTGGGTGCCCCAACATGCTTTCCTCCTGGCCTTCAGCTGGAACCTGAGGCGTTGCCAGAAAGGAGGGTCCTGGAGAGGGAGGGCTTGTCAGTTCCTCCCCAACACTTTCAGAATCATCTTCCTCCGTGAGGACAGGCTTGGGAGTCAGAGTCACAACAGGGATCCATCCATCTTAACTTAAGCCTTGGGGAAAACAAACAGATCTTAAAGGCTTTATTGAATGCAAACTGGGTGGGAACCAAACGAATTTGGGAGGGGGAATCTCACTCCAGAGGGGAGGTGATGCAACAAGATGGCACAATTCATTTGAAAGAACTCAGAATGTGCCAATTCTGCTAACATGTAAAACCATAGGCAAAAACCATGGGAGACAGGCAGTCCCTGAAATAAACTGGCCTTATGCTATGTACATGTACAGGTGATGAGCAGCATCTTGAATTCCATCTGAGAGCAGAATGGTAACCAATGCAGCTCACCAAGACTATGTGATCATATTAAAAGCAGCTGCATCCTCTTCACTGATGATGTAAAATTAAATAACACCACTGACAATGCTCCTGCCCTACAAAGCGACCTGGATCATGTGTCAGAATGATCATGCATTTGGCAACTCCAAACCTCAACTAATAAATGCTCTGTCTTACACATTGGCAATAAAAATCAGAACACTAAATATAAATTGGGCGATAATGACCCCGTAGACAGTCCTCATTCTGTCAATGACCTAGGAGTATTCATCTCAAACGATCTAAGCCCCAGAGCTCACTGTAACAGCATTGCCAAAAAGGCATTAAGAATTGTTAACCTAATTTTGCGAAGCTTCTTCTCTGGTAACATTGTATTGCTAACTAGGGCATACAAAACCTTTGCCAGACCAATTCTCGAATACAGCTGGAATCCACACTGTATATTAGACATTAATACGATTGAGCGGTCCAGAAGTATTTCATGAGAAGAGTACTCCACTCCTCTACTAACAAGAGAATCCCTTATGCCACTAGGCTTGAAATTTTGGGCTTGGACAATCTGGAATCACGTCGCCTGCGGTCTGATCTAAGCATAGTACACAAAATTGTCTGCTACAATGTCTTACCTGTCAATGACTTCTTCAGCTTCAACCTCAATAATATATGAGCAAACAATCGATACAAACTCAAGGTAAACTTCTCCAATCTCGATTGCAGAAAATACGACTTCAACAACAGAGTGGTCAATGCCTGGAATGCTCTACCCGACTCCATTGTTACATCCTCAAACCCTCACAGCTTCAATCTTAAACTGTCTATCGTGGACCTCACCCCATTCCGAAAAGGTCCATAAAGGGGGTGTGCATAAGCGCACCAGCATGCCTACCATCCCTGTCCTACTGTCCCCATTTATTTGTATTCATTTCCTTCATTCATGTCCATATTCATATTCATAGCTGCTATATTGTAATGTTTGACAAACAAACAAACAAACAAACAAACAAACATGATTGGCCATGTCGCGGCATTTTGGAAGAGCAGCCCCAGTAGAGCATATTGCAGTAGATGACCCATGGGGTTACTAGGGCATCAATGACTCAGGAAGAGACTCTATTCTGCTATATAGTACCCACCAGTGAAATCTAAAAATTTTCCCTACCGGTTCTGTGGGTGTGGCTTAATTGGTGGGCGTGGCTTGGTGGTCATGTGACCTGGTGGGCGTGGTCAACAATAATAAATAATAAAAATAATAAATAAAGTACACAAAACAATAAGAAGTACCAAAAACCAACTTTTACACTTTACACACACACAACACAACACAACTGACTCATACACAATGTAAAAGCAGCTGTACTTCACCCAAAATGGTCCCTGCAACAAGCAGGAACCTCACAGAGGCACAAAAAGCTCAAAAACCACATCTCCAAAATATTTAACATTTGGATTCACTAATAATGCTTCCAGTGAACAGTCCGGTTTGTACTTTATCTGAATAATTATTGTTCAAGTAATTCTCAAAAAGTTCTAGCAGCACAATTCAAAGAAATCTTGTTTTTTTTCTTTAGCCTTTCTGATGGTCTAGATCTCACAGACATACCATATATTATAACTGGAAAAACATGACCTTGACAATATTTTTCTTTGCTCACAGACTGCTGCTTCTGTATTTATTATTTTTGCAGGTATGTCACAATCCTTCTTCAAAAGAATATTTCTTTATTTAATGACTACAGTCTTAAGTTTTAAGATCAGAAAAAAAGTTTATTACTTCAGCTTATTCAGCAGTCATTTGCATTAAGCTGTCATTGCCTGAGATTTTTCAGTTATTATTACCTATTAGACTTCCTTCCTTCCTTCCTTCCTTCCTTCCTTCCTTCCTTCCTTCCTTCCTTCCTTCCTTCCTTCCTTCTTCCTCTCTCTCTCTTTCTTTCTTTCTTTCATCCTTTTTTCTTCTTCCTTCCTTCCTTCCTTCCTTCTTCCTTCCTTCCTTCCTTCCTTCCTTCCTTCCTTCCTTCCTTCCTTTCCCTTCAATCTTATATGCAGTCTTATATAGTTATCAGTCATAAACTGATATATGTTAATCTCACCACTCTATTCATATTCAAAAAAGTTCTGATTGTTGCACTTTCTAATGTCTTGCAAACTGTATTCAAAGAAGAAAGATTCCAGAAACTCCTATACAATGAGATGAAATGAATGTGTTTATTACCAGAAATCAAGAGTCATTGAAACAATAGTTCTTCTTGACAGTCAGTTCTATCAAGTTCTGTGACACAAATTTATCACACCTACATTTACTCAATGTTCACATTATAACTGATTCTTTTAATCTCAATTATGTTTCCTCCAAGCAGAACAACACACTTTTTAAAAATGGCTTTCAAGATTGGACATGATCTTACTTAGAATAAATTGACTATATTAAACACGTTCCAAATTTGGCAATAACAATAATTATTCCCATTTATAGTGCTAATAGCTTCATTACATTATTCTGAAAAAAGAAAGTTTATTTATTTATTTTATTTATTTGTTTGTTCTATTTTATTTATCTTATTTTATACTTTATAATCTTTTTTATTTCTTTTTTTTATGCTATGTAAGGCTATGCAATGACTTTGATGAAATGCTGAACTCTAAATCTAGTTTAAAAATATAATTTATATGCTTAATATGTTTAATATAAACCATACTATACTTATGTGATGGCCTGGTTCACACAACATGCTAAGGCCCAACTGGATTTTCACAAAATGGGAAAATATCCAATGGATAAATCTATGAATCATCTATTCTACTTCAAAGTATAAGTTCCCCAAGACTGATCAAGACTTTTATTGAAACTTGGATATTCTTACTGATGGTTTCAGTTCAGAATCTCCCATAACCATCATGTTCCTTTATGACACTCTGATGAACTCTCAGCTAAAACATTACATGTAAAATATGCAAAATATGTTAAAAAAAAAAAAAAACAACCTCCAGAAAATAGGCTCAAGATACAGAAGGATCTTGACAGACTTGAACACTGGGCCGTATCTAACAAAATGAAAATCAATGGTGAGAAAGGTAAGGTTTTAAACTTAGCAAGAAAAACTAATTACACAGAATGGAATAGGTAGCACCTGGCTCAATAGTAGTAACTGTGAGAGGAATTGTGGAGTCCGAGGGGACAAATCACTTAAATCTGAGTCAGCAGTGTGCTACAGCTGCCCAAAAAGTCAACGCAGTCCTAGGATGCATTAACAGAAGGATAGAATCCTTCCAGCTTATTTGGAAGTATCAAGCTTCATGAAGCTTTTGTGGTTGTTTAATTCTGAACATATTTAATTCTGAACTTATTTATTCATTGTTTTATTTAAGAGCCTTGGTAGTGCAGGGGATTAAGTGCTGTTATGTAGCACTTAGCTGCAGCTGCCTGCAATTAGTGCGAGTTCAAATCAACTAAGCTCAAGGTTCACTCAGCCTTCCATCCTTCCGAGGTAGGTAAATTGAGGACCCAGACTGTTGGAGGCAATAAGCTGACTTCGTAGAAACACCGCTTATGGGGGGCCAAAAGCCCTAATAAGCAGGTATATACAAAAGAATGAAGGCTATTGCTATAGTGCATTGTAAGCCACCCTGAGTCTTTGGAGAAGGGCGGCATATAAATTGAAATAATAATAATAAAAAATAAATCTAATTTACATTGAATGGAGGGTTAAATTCCTGGAGAAGATTTACAGCAGTCTCTACCCTAAAGTATGAAAATTATGCATTTTTAAACTAATATTTATCTTCTTATATGCACATATTAATTTTGTCATATTAATTTTTCCTCTCCTTCCTTCCAACACAGAAGTTAGTATTACAGCTATAACTATTTCAGTAGCATTTGAAAATCTCTTTGTAATGGAGATATATCTGTGCTTGTTCTTTTTCCCCCCTGTGTTTTCCCTCATATAAATATTTACACAAATCGTTTACATTAATTCTAGATTTTAAGAAAAACTTATTTTCTGGATAATAGAATTACAATATTGTATAA